AATTATTTAACATGAATACAGAACAATGTATTTATATTAAATTTAAATGTATTATATTTATGTTATATTTATGTTATATTTATATTATTTATTATTATTATATTAATCTACTTTACAATCGGAACTATAGATTATAATCTAGTTAGTAAACCTATTTAGTATTTTATATTTTCGAATATGCTGGCCATTGTAATAGTAATATGTATATAAATATGAATATATTATAATAAGTGTGTAACGGTTATCATATCCCAAATTTTATTGCATTTGGCACCGGATTTTACTTAAAATTAAATTATTTGGCCTAATGAAAGCAATAAAATTATTATCGAGATGTTTATTGTTTACTTTATTTAATTCCTTGCAAGAGAAACAAACGTGACTTTCTATTCATGCACATATAATATGATATGCCTAATGTGTTAGTGCATATGCGAGTATAAGTTCACTTGATTTCTTGGTAACAATGGTGATAGCTTCAGTCTATTTTTTTGCAAAGTTGTCGTTATAATATAAAAAACATTTCGATCTATCCATTGAATATGTCTGACGCAGTATAGACATTATTATAGAAGTATATCTAAGAGTATAATAATATGCACTCGGCATTTACGGTCGTTGTAACTTTTAAGGATCGAACTCTTATTATTATTATTTTACCTGTAGATTATTTCCATAAATCTTTCTCCTTTGAAATAATTCAGATTTTCATTATTTATTTGCTTACCTAATAATACTGGGAATCCCAATATTTATAAAACAGTTCTATAGCAAGATAGATACGAAGTAAAAATATTCAGCAAAGTGATAGAAAAAGATAATTAAAGAATATATTACACAATGTCACAATAGCTAAATATAGATTGTTTAGAGCTATAAAAACACTAAAAAGGATTAATAATATAAAAAATATTGATCAGCATATAATGACGGGTCTTCGCCAATTTCATATTTTGTAGATATCATAGTTATTGGTGTAATTAGTGTGTGACTTGAATATAGGTATACAATTACTTAGGATCATTGTTAAAAAATAATGAGAATTTTGAGGATGACGTCAAAAATAGGTTTATGCGTGGATCAGTGGCGAATTTTCAACATTTTTCTGGGGGAGGGGGGTCCTATAAATAATATATATATCAAAGGTACCTATCTATTATTTTTATTAACGTATAACTGTTGAAAAATTAAAAATAAATATTTAACAATATATTATTTCAGTATAAAATGTTAAAAAGGTATATAAATTATAACCTTATATTAATATGTAATACTAGTGTATATAAAATACAACATACAATGTATAGTGTCTGTGGGAGAGGGAGGGGGTTAGATGAAGTGGAAAGAAGTGTCAGATATTTTGTGTGACAAGAGGATGCCATTGAGCTTAAAAAGTAGATTTTATAAAGTAGTTATGAGGCCAGTAATTTTGTATGGATCGGAATGTTTGGCTGTGGACAATACAGTAGAACAGATGGTCAGTGTAGCACTGATGATAATGCAAAGATGGATGTGTGGATTGACTTGGGAGGAAATAATAAGAAATAATTCATCGGGGTAGTGTAGGAGTTTCACCAATTGTACACAAACTGAGGGTGAATATTGGTTAAGTTGGTATATGTTATGAGTAGAGGTGACTCCGAGTGAGTTGCCCATGGGAAATAATTTAGAAGGAAAGAGAGGAAAAGGAAGACCGAAGAAGATATGGATAGACAGAAGCAGACTAGATAATGACACATTGACACGAAAATACTAAATAACTAGTTACAATAAAGATGATTACAGAGCCCCATGGCTGTATAGGATAAGGGTCTATGTAAAAAGTAATACGATCAAGGTTAACAAAATAATAGTAAGATAGTATAAAATTGTATAATTTATACATAACTGTTGGCTATAGCAATTACTCTACTCGATTAAAGACCTAGGAATAATTAGGACAATGGTGTGGTATATTGCGATCATTATAGTACATTTTACAGAAGTAAATCATTAATCATCTCATTCATCACACTTTAAAAATAAATTTTCAGTAAACATCGGTTTAATACAATATTATAATAATAGGTACAATAGTTTTACAATTGATTTCAATTTTCAAAAAAAACTACATTTTTCAGACTGACTTTGCTATGGTGATGATCTTTATAACCTAGCTTATTTAAAGTAGGTAGTATTACTTGTATTACAATGTAAAATTTATGAAAACCTGAAACTTAAGGATATTTTTAGTAACCAAAACGCTTCAACGGCAATGGTTATTATCGTACAGTTATGTGATTAAGGATTTAAAATTAAATACAAATACAACCTTTGTAGTAATATTATATTTATTATTCGTCAAAAATTAAATTTCAAATTATTAATGTTAACGAATAATGTTAACTTTAAAGTTTATTGATATTCCTAAATCATGGTAGGTATAAGATATTTTTATTACAAGTCAGAATAATAATATAAATGTCAACAGACAACATTTGTTTGTAAAATGTAATGTAATTCAAGTCTTGGATAATAACTATACAAACTTAATAATAATAACATTCAAAATATACAATATATACTACCTCATTTATCATAAATATAGTAGACAAGTTTCTGGAAGGTTATATTATTTAATGTTTAGTATCCAACAATGTGAACAATGTCACGAAATTAGATTTTATAAAAATGGTGTGCTGCATGTTTTATATTTTTTCGAAGCTTTTATTATTTCTTTTTTTGGAAAATTATCTTTGCCATCCGTATTAAATTTTTAATCAAATTTACAACATAATGAAACCTTTAAATCTCCTTTTTTTACTCAAAATTGTTGTTTAACAGACAAATGAATAAATATTTTAAACCTATACGTGTTAAATCATAAATCATTTTATCTACTTAGAATCTAACTTTGATTTAAAAATGTATCTAGACCCATAGACTGAAGATTTATAAAAAAAATGAAAAAAAATGTATACACTCGTGATACGAAATAAAAACTACTGCTAAAATGCATTTTTTTTTTCGTTTCTGTAGTCTTTACTTTGTAGTTCACTAAACTAAGTCTAATTACGGTTTATGCTTATTCGATTTCCATACAGACAAGAAGTACTTGCAGATATTGTAGACGTGACGATAAAATAATAGTTATAGTGAACTCCTCACCAGCTTGTATAGCTTTTTAAAAATGTTCTTAGTTTTTATAGTTAATTTTTCTGTAACTGAACGGTTTCCATTTCTATTTATATATTTATGCAGCATAGCTAGTATACAGGTAATGGTAAGTAAGGAGAGTACTGGTTAATTACGTAGGTACTGTATACATACAGTTACTAATAACAAGGTAAATAATTTTTAACGCATTGGTGGTATTTCAAATTTTTATCCGGTATTTGTTTACTACCAGTAGGTATCTACGGTATTACCGTACCTCGGTAATAACCGAAAATACCGCACCTCGGTAAATACCAGATCTCGGTGAATTTATATATATTATGTCATATTGATTATATATAAATAATAAATGTAGGTATACCGTATTTTCGGTAAATACCGTGGCACGGTATACCGGTGTTCTAAAGTACCGAAAATAAAGCCACAACCCTTGCGTTCAGTATTCCAATATATTGCGGTGTTTTCTCCGTCCGATTAACAAGCGTGACATGGCTTATTTAATAAAGCACGATTCACACTAAACCTTATACACTGCACGGCGCGACAAAATATTATATTATTAGTTTATATGAGATAATTCACAGTACGTCACAGGCACCGGCACCGACCTACCATGACAATTTAACTCTTCGTTGTTTTTACTACGATATTGTATAGTACAGAATTTTTTCGGATTTGCATCCGCTCATATCACATATTATACCAACCCGTGTCGGTTTGAACTAGCAATATTATTCTTACGCGTTTCGAGACGACCGATTCGTGTGCGCAGTGCAAACGCATTTTTCATCCGTTTTATTTTTTATTTTTTTCATTCCTTTTCACAGGCGCCAACGAGTTTGCCGCCGCTGTCGATGAAGAACCACTACCACCCGAGATAGTGTCAAGTGCGAAAACACAATAATAATAATATAATGGTGTAACATTCCGTTCGCGTGTAAATTACCATACGTCGCTTTTTTTTCCCTTCTTATTATTATTTATTTCCATTCCCGCAGCGTGCGCGAAACCGTTCGTATAATATTATTATAATATATTATTACGCGCGCGTGTTTGCGAGTGTGCGTGTGTATATTTATAGGATCCATACGAGCGTAGGATCCACGTTCTTTATTTTAATTTTTTTTTCCATTTTATTCGACACCTTAATATCATGTAAAAAAAAAAAAAAAAAACAGATGAAAAAACCGAATGAGAGATTTGTACAAAGAACCGTCGGCCAAATCCGGTTTGGAATTACAGTAGCCGGCTCCGACCGGTGAGGCCGCCGCTGTTGTGCCCGAGTGATTTGGATCTGATTACAAGCAACAGTATGTAAAAACGTCTCCGCCTACGCCGCGCCTCACACGCCGTGCGAGATATAATGTAGTAATAATAATAATAATAGAAATAATAATATAATAGGTATCAGTGGCGCAACCAGGGGGGTGGACTCCGGGTCTGGACCCCCCCCCTTGGCACGTATAATAGTAAATTAATTTCATTTTCTCAATAAACTTGAATAAAAATTAAATTTATAAATATAAATTGATTTTTCGACTACATCAATTAAGTAGTGTTCTGGCTACACTGCTACAGTGCAATAACCAATAATTTAATACTATCATGTTTACATGTTATCTGTGACCTTAATAATTATTATCATGACCATGGTTCTAAACATAGAGTAAACTATGGTTCTAGTCTCTAGATATCTGATTTATCAACAACTGTTATCAAATACAATACATTTCGATTAGTTGTTACAATAATTGTGAGTTTGTGAAATTTTCGTTTTTTTTTCGGTCGTCTTAGAACTAGTATTGATTTATATTGTTTATACTTTATAGTTTTAAAAAGTAACAATGAATAGTTCTATAAAAGATTTTTTTACTACTAGTAGACCTAGTACTAATATTAATAATCTCGGTGTAAAATCAGTTGTTTCTATTTCTTCACAAGTTCCTGATCAAAGTGTTCCTTCTGTCGAGTGTTCTACAAGTACCAATAATTCTAAAGAATCTGAAGACAACAATCATAGCATTTTTGATATAACGGCATATATTAGTAAACATATGTCAAATAATGAAAAACTTGAAGCGCTTAAAACAATTTGGACCCCAGGTAATAATCATAATTTTCCGATTACGCTGCATGGCAATAAAAATTTAAAATTTCAACTTTCTTGGCTTAATAAATGGAATTGGATAGCTTACAGTAGTTTAGTTGATGGCGTTTATTGTAAGTATTGTGTATTATTTGGCATTAAAAAAGGAGGAAAAGGAGGTCAATTGCTTGGACAGCTTTGTAATCAGCCATTCAAAAATTGGAAGCACGCTACAGAAAAATTTAAATTGCATGAAAGTACAAATTATCATACCAACTGTATTTTAGATTTTCAATCTTTGTCTGCTGTTATTTCAGGGAAAACATCTTCTGTGCACGATAAACTAAATATCGCTTCTAAGAAACAAAAAGAAGATAATAGAAAAATAATTTTGCCAGTTATTAAGTCTGTGATACTCTGTGGTCGTCAGGGAATACCAATTAGAGGTCATCGAGATTACGGCCCTTTGGAATTAAATGAACCAACACAAAATGATGGTAATTTTCGCGCAATATTGAGATTTTATATAAACGCAACTGGAATATCGGGAGATAATAGCCATATATTAGCTCGAGAAAACTGTAAAAAAAATGCCCAGTATATCAGCTGGAAAATCCAAAACCAGATTGTTGATGCTTGTTATTCAGTAGTGTCAAAAAAAATTGTCAACAAAATTAATGTATGTAAATATTTTTCTATTATTGCTGATGAGACGGCTGATATTTCCGGTATTGAGCAGTTTTCACTTTGTGCCAGATATTTTGATTCCACTGATAAAATAATTCATGAGGATTTTTTAAAGTTTGTACCGGTTCATGATGTGAGTGGAAGAGCTCTAGCAGACACAATAATCAATGAACTAAAAAGTCTGAACATAGATATCAAACATTTAAGAGGTCAAGGGTATGATGGCGCTGCCACTATGAGTGGCAAATTTAATGGAGTTGCTACATTAATTAAAAACAAATATCCCACTGCGCTGTATATTCATTGTAGTTCTCATAACCTTAATCTCTCAATATCATATTCTTGTAATTTACCACAAATCAGAAATACTATGGGTACCATTGAAAGTATTTACTTATTTTTTAATACACCTAAAAGACAAAAGTTTTTCACTGAACAATTAGAAATGTTTAAAAAAGAAGAAAGTATGAAAGAAGATGGTTGTCATTCAAATAAAGAAAAACTAAAACGTCTTTGTCCAACCCGCTGGGTAGATCGTCATAGTTCTGTTGAAACAATTTATGATTTTCTACCTGTCATTGTGAATAGTTTGGAAGAAATGATTACATGGCCGGATAAGGATGTAGCAACAAAAGCTAACCAAATACTTTTAACATTAGGAACTTCAGAATTCAACATTAGTCTATCAGTAATTATTAAACTATTTCAGTATACTAAACCTCTTAGTGTTTACTTACAAAAGAAAAACATTGACTTGGTTGAAGCTATTAATCACATCAACACTATTTTAAATGAATTAATGAATATTCGTGAAAATGCTGAAATAGTCTTTAGTGATTTGTTTAAAAATCTTATTAAAAGATCAAATGAAATGGATATTGAAATAAAAATACCAAGACTTGCTAAAAGACAAAAACATAGAAATAATTTTTCTACAGAAAACCCTGAAGATTATTTTAGAGTATCTATTTTTATTCCATTTATTGATTCTATAATACAACAATTAAATGATCGTTTCAATAATCATAAAGAAATAATATCTGGTTTTCAAGTATTGATAAATCCATGCGCTAAAAGTGATCTTCATCATCTTGTAAAATATTATCAAGAAGATGTTGAAAGTTATGAAAAAGTTGTATCTGAGGTTGATTTATGGCACAGATATTTAAATACAAATAATATTAAACCTCAGAATGCATTAGATGCGTTACTTATATGTAATCAGGACTTCTATCCAAATATTTATAATTTATTGCATATCCTTGCTGTACTCCCAGTTACATCTTGTGAGTCAGAAAGGTCATTTTCTTCACTGAAGCGAATCAAAACATATTTGAGGAACTCGACTTCTGAAACCAGGTTAAATGGATTAGCGGTTCTTAACATACACCGAGAAGTTCCAGTTACAGAAGATGAAGTAATTGAAGTATTAGCTTCAATAAATCGCCGTTTAGATTTTTCATTGTAAAATTATGTCTTGATTAGTTTAGTACTTATTTAATATTTAAAATAATAATAACATTTAAAAAATGTATTGTTAATAAAAACATAAGAATATTGTTTATAAAAATTAAGATGGTTTATTTTGTCAGACCCCCCCCATGAAAAATTCCTGGTTGCGCCACTGATAGGTATATATACTCAGGGATGGGCAAGATACTCAAAAATCAGTATCGAGATACTAGATACTAGATACCTGGATTTGGAGTATCGAGATACTAGATACTCGATACTTGGCTCTAGAGTATCGCGATACTAGATACTCGATACTTGGCTTTGGACTATCGCGATACAAGATACTCGATACTCGATACTCAATACATTTTAATGAAATTAGTCACTGGATTTTTAAAAATTATGTTTATTATTGTGGGTATGGCCACTTCATTAAGTAATTAGAATGAAAAATAAAATAAAAAACATTGACACTTTCAGTAATAATAATACATTAGTAATAAAACAAAATAAAATAAATCAATTACGACATTACGTAATCTTGTTATCGTCTACGATTCTACCAAAAATAACCACAATACGATTTCATAACAATTAAATAATAATAATTCTACATTAAAAATTATATTTACTTGGTATTGTCGTATTGAATTATATAAATAATAAAAATAATTTTAGTATAATAAAAATTTAATTTCAATAGTATACAAAAATTTCAATAGTATAATAGTAACATAACATCATTCATTTATATAGTTAATTTATCTTTGTTTCCTTTTAAAAATACAAGTTTTTCGAAGGTTATATCAGATAATTTATTTCTGGTAGGATTATTAATAAATCCTGCCATGGAAAACATTCGTTCTACGGGTGCTGAGGAGCATAAGCTGGTATTAAATCTAATAAAAAGTTTTTTTATAATTGGATAATTGTTTAGAATATTTAATGATTTAGCCTTATCATTAAAAAAAGTAACTACTTCCAGATCGGCTTTTTTAATGGTTTTAGCTTCTGGTTGCGATGAATAAACAATAAAATTGTCGTCATCTTCATCGCTAGAATTTGAATTATTAGTAATATCATTATTAAAAATATTTTCTGCAGCATTTATACATAGGTTTTGAATTCTATTTTTTTCGTGGTCATATTCATTAGAGATCCATCTTAATTTATAACATGGATGAAAACAAGTTGCTAAAATAGCTTCATTTATACTGGGAGATAATTCAAAAAAATCGCTAAATCGTTTTATTAAAGAATTAACCAATGGTGTTATCATATTAGCTAAATGGCGAAAATTTTTTTCTTTTAACATTTCTAGTCTAGTTTTAAGTGAATATAATGTGGGTAAAAGCTGACCGTAATAACATTGATTCTCACTCTGCAAAAAGTCTAAGGCACCAGCAATAGGCTTTAATAAAGCAGCTAATTCCTCTAAATACTCAAAATCTATATCTTTGAAACTATACTTAACATTTAATTCTTTTAACACTAAATTTAATTTATCTTTGTATTTCAAAAGCTGTGTAATACCGTCATAAAGAGAGTTCCACCGAGTAGGACATGGATATTTCAGTGAACAATTTAATATAGTATGGATGATTTCTGAAGATTTTGGTCTTCGTGACAAATTCCAGAGTGTTGTACATTTACCCATAACAGAATGGTTGATTCTAGATGCTGAAGTCCCTTTTAGAATTTTGTTAAAATCTGTAGTCGCAATAAGACTCAATGTGTGACTTGCACAGCGTAAATGATGAGGCAAAAAAATTTCAGTTTCTTGTGTCATGGTGTCATAAATACACATAATAATAATAAATAATAAATAATAAATAATAAATATTAATAATTAATAAATTTACCTTGATATGAAGGCGAAAATTAGAAGTGGATCTTAATGTGCCGCTATATTCTTTTTTGTCATCATTGCAGAGAACACATTCTGCTTTGATATTTTCATTTTCCATTGTCGGTAGTTTTTTTATTTTGAAATATTTTCCATCCAAAATGAGTGGAATAAACAAATTATTTAATTCAGACATATTAATATTATATTACATACAATCTGAGTCAGTATAATAAAGGCAAACGATCGTCACATAGTGACTCACAGTCCGCAGAACACCAGGTGTGTAGCCGGCAGTGTTTGTGTAAAAATCTAATCTACTAATTTTATCGTGTTCATTACCTACCTTATCGCGAAAGGTGTAGGTACTATATTACATAGTAGAAAAATAAGGTACAGTCTTACAGACGTAAAGTCCAATTCAAAGTACGTGTGTAACATAATATTATATTTTATATACAACCATTACACCACTAACTTTTCAAAAGTGGTTTCTGACGAGTAAAAATAATCGTAAACAATTAATTTTTCAAAGTATTGCATTAATGTATCGAGTATCTTCCGATTAAATTAATTCATGAAATACTCGATACATTGACTAAAAATGTATCACGATACAAGATACTCGATACTTCACATAATTGTATCGAGATACAAGATACAAGATACAAATGTATCTAAGATACGTATCTTAGATACTTGTATCGAAGATACTGCCCAACCCTGTATATACTGTATCGTGTGCCGCATCGCCGCTCATTGTATTTGTATTTGTTTTATGGGTTAGCGGCAACGAAACTATGAAAACTGTGTACCGTAGACAGCGCGGCGGCGGTTCCCGGCGAGTTCAGAATTTCACCACTCCAATTAAACAACGACAATAATATACATAGAATTATTATGTTATATTTTAGCGAGCGAGATGTTCTGTTCGAGATCGGGTGTATGGAATTCCGATATTGCTGCAGTTGTCGGTTTTAGCTATCCACGACGTCCCACACGCGTATATTATACGAGTGGTCTCTGAAGACTTCAGTATTTTGGCGCGAAGATGAAACACGTGTATTATCATTAGATTAATAATAAATAATAATATTACAATATATGGGTGTGTATTGTATTATTTCCGCAAGCACCACATTAAACGATTTTTGTTTTTTTTTTTTTTTATCATAATCTGCCAAGACATACATTTTGATTTGTGAAACTATAATTTATGCTATAAATCTCATCCTATATTATAATATGTACACTAGCATAGACCGGATGCTATTTTTTTTTTGGTCTATGCACACAATACTACGTCGTCTCAGAATGAAAAGGTTCTAACGTAATTTTTGTAACTGTTCAGAAGAACGTTTTTAAGTTGTCCCATGCGAATGAATTAGAATCTTTCTCTGTATCTCATTGAATAAACAACGGATCGATACGATTTCAGGATTGAATTATACAACAAAAAATATTTAATAATAATATGCAAAAAAACAATTTTTCAAAAAAATTGATTTAGAACCTTTTCATTCTGAGACGACGACTGGCTTAATGGCTACTGGCGTGATAAGATGTTTTCTTCAGTAAACTTTTGAAAATTGGTACTATTGTGATTTATTTTAATTAACGCTTACTTTTTAAACTTCAATATAATGTATTTAGGCACGATTGATGAATAATGTATATTATTACTGTTTGGAATAGGAAAAAAAAATAATATAGGTAGGTACCATTTTAAACTTATATTTGAACTTTTTACTGTAATTAGTTTGAATATCTAAGGTTATTACTTATTAAGTTAGGGAGCAGTATGTATAGTGTATAGTACATAGATTATCATTTTGTTTTCTTAAACATGAATTTCGACATTATCTTGACTTAATTTAATATACATTATGTCGAGAAATGTTATTTTACATACTATGCTGCATGTTCCTAAATTTATTATAGGTATCTTAATTCGCGAAGTGAACTATATACGATTTTTGAAATTTAGCTTATATATATAGTCTAGTTACTATTTACGAGTGTTCAGTAACAACTCAAAATCGACAAAAAAAATCTTAACTGCTACTTTTATTTCGTAGTTATAACGTATAAATTATAAAACACATTTTTTTTTATTAGTCAGTTATTTTTTGTTTTTGAATAATTCACACTGTAGATACCTACCTATTTTTGCAAATATTACAAATGTGTTAAGCTATTTTTTTGTTTTAAGTATGACCTTATAAAAAAAAACCGTAGCTTAATATTGTTAAGTCTGAACGGATGTCACAGAAGTGATTGCATTAATCCGGTGATCTCGAGTCGACCGGAAATCTTCATGACAATATACGTGCTTGGAAATCGTTTGGCGTCGAGAGCGGTTTAACGTCTATAATATAATACACGAAATATAACATATATAATATCACATGGTAGCAGGACATAACATTGTGTGCTGTTTAAGATAATAAAATATTATTACAACAGTCGAGTACAATAGCGGTATTTAATTAGAGCATTGAGAAATGTTTGTATGAGATTTTACATATTATAATAGAACATGCACTGCAGCGATAATAATATTGCATATAATATTTAAAACTATTTATATATTTAGTAATGTCGTTGAGTAAGTATAAATTGGTGTAAGTATACTTACTCTGGTAATTTTTGGTGTATGTTACTCTTATGCTTCGGGTTTACATTTTTTTATGAATGCAATCGTCGAAGCTAAGCTGTATAATGTTTTAAAAACAAGAAAAAAAATATTTGAAACGAACAATGATAAATAATCACTATACGTATTGTTATTTGTTATGGACTATGGAGTATAATACTTAAAGCTACTCGCGAGTGTGCAGTTCTATATTTTGTTCAAAACAGAGCCTTGAACCTGAATTGAGCCCTAGGGCCCTTGAACCCCTAACACCCCTAAAACCCTTAAAAATTAAACCCCTGAAACCCATATTACTCGAATGATTCTGTTTTAAAGACAACCGAATTAACCAAAACTGCAAAACCCAATAAAACATTCTAGTTAATAGGAAACCCGAATAATTTTGTTTTTTACAATCCTCGTCTGATATATCATTTTGTATGTATTTCTTGTGGTGAGTTCGATTCTGTAGTTAGTTTATTAGTCTGTAATTTGTTTTGTAATTGTCAATTTTTGTTGCTGTTTGATTAAT